AGAAACATAATCCGCAATGGTGAGAACTTAACTGCACGGTTGCCATCTATTTACATAAAAATAAATTTGCAAATACTTTATTTTTATATATATATATATATATATATATATAATAATCGACTCTCCCGTCGAGATTTGATGTATGAGGGTCAAGCAGATCAGTTTCCAGGAAACTGACAGCGCCCGACACCGGCACATGAGATTTGATTATAGTGGTGAAGGCTTCATGCAGGACCATCCACACTTTTTAAAGGGAAGAATACAGAGACCTGATGCACCGAATGCCACAAGGTCCCCAAACGACCCTCCGCAGGTTTTGAATTCAGAGTTGTCCTTCTCCTAGACCAGTTGCCATCCAGGGCTATAGAACCCAGTCTGTCCTGCTATTTTACCCATAGCTGGATGGAGAAGAAGAGGATTCATACCTTTCCCAAGGGTATTAGCATGTAAGTGAATGTAATGGATTCGACTGGAATTTGAACTTAGCTCTGATTCCTCAATCCAAGCCGTTATCCATTACTCCACACTGTGCTCTATATATATATATATATATATATATATATATATATATATATATATATATATATATATATATATATATATATGGCAAAAATGTCTTATTATGATGAAACTTTTTCAAAGGCACAAAACTCTTCTTCCCAAAACAATATACGAATTTACGCCATGAAAGAACATTAATACAATATATCTTTAGAATCAGACACAAAAAATATATTTACAGCACGTTGAGCATCATTCACTATTGCACTTGCATTTGAGTCTGTTTTATTAAGTACTCAGATATATATATATATATATATATATATATATATGCCTTACTCAGAGGATTTGACCTGTATTATTGTTATACCAAAACATTACCTATTCTATTGTAATAGTCTCTCTCACAGATAATAAGTAGTAGTAGCAGTGGCCAGTTGGGCTCAGTGGTGTTGAGTGAGTCAGTCGATGTCGGACATTGAAGTATCAACCATCACAACTAGATTGCTGCATCATTAACTCTTATTTTAAGTTCCTAACGTTTTGTACGTCGAACCTAATTTAGGACGACTTATTGAAATACAAGCCTCCACTGTAAAAAAACTACTCTAGAACAATTATCTTGCTAAAGATTGCAGATTTCAGCATCCCTTGTGTAATTTTAGAAAATATCTCAATGAACCAAGTTTACGATGTCTGGATAAACATATATATAAATACACATTGATAATTATTACATGGTTTGATTTGAACGTTTTGATTAAATCATCTTGAATAATTTTGCATAGAAATGTTCTTAATCAGTTTTCATGCTGAGAGTAACTTTTCTCAGACTTTAAGAATTGTGTTTCATGCATTCATTTTCTCTATTTTTTAAAATAATTTTTCCCACAAGCAAGGTGATAAAGCCACTAAGATGGAAGGGATTACCAAGAATAAAAGAAAATGAGAAGATGCTAGTGAGAAGAAAAGAGAATAAAAGAACTGGATTCAAGAAGAGAGAAGATGGTGATAAAAGACTGAAGATGGTGACTGAAGATTATAGATGGCAGGGGAGCAAGAAACTGGGAAAGATTTTCACAGGTGAGAAGTGTGAGAAAAGAAACTCTTAGAATAAAATTTATGGTTGCACTTAGCTAGTTATTTCAATATGTAAAATGGTGAGCTCTGGTTGCCAGTCTAGCAGTACACTTAATTAATTGAGGTACCAAAGAAGAATGCTCGTTAGAATAATTGCAATGAAAATATTTATAGTAAGAACGGTGGGAAGCCATGTCATGATTATTAGTGCTTTGTAATTAAAATATTTTTTAAAGTTGTTACCAGAAAATTTTCCTTCGCAATTACCTGCCTTAATTTTAATTAAAAATGTCTCAACCCCAAAATGCTAATCAGTTGTACCAAACTAAATACCTTATGACTATATCTTGTTGGATCACCAAAGTTAAGCAATGTCAAGTCTGATCAGAACGAAGATGGGTGACTGTTTGGAAATACCAAGTGGTGTAACCTTGGATGTACGGTCGGTGTAAAGGATAACAGCTTGGATTTGGAGAGTGGAGATCAAAAGTTCCAATTCCAGTTGGGTTTGTTATATTCACTTATGTGCAAATACCCTTGGGAAAAGATATGCATCCACTTTGTCTCCCCCAGTTATGAGTTAATCAGTAGTACTTGTATCAGTAAATCATTATTATCATCCAAAAGTTCTTCCAATCTAAAAATATTTTATGGCTTTAAATAACCCTCAAAATGATAAGCCAAAAAAAACAAAACTCTTATTCAGTAATGCTCTACCTTGAGTGACTCACGAACCTTGTATTGGGTGAACATTAGGTAAAAAAAGAAAATCTTCAACTCCAAACTAATGCTCTATTATCCCAAGGTGACATTCATCTTATGTGTATATTAAAAACTGAATTGGTTTACTAGTAAACAAACAAGGTTGTTGTCTTAGCAGTATTAACCATATGTACAACAAAGAGATAAAATGTATCAAGTCATTTTCCTAATGCCAATTTCACTCAGTGCCACAGTGTTTATCCAGACATCATGAACTTGGTTCATTGAGATATTTTCCAAAATTCACAAGGGATGCTGAAATCTGCAATCTTTGGGAAGATAATACACGTCAAATCCTCTGAGTAAGGCAAACGCATGGCCTGCTGGCAACATGGAGGAATGGTGTGGTAGAAATCTGTGGTCAAAGAAGAAGTCATCAGTACACTGGTGCCAAGATAATGGTAAAATGATGCTTGGCAAGAGAAAGCTGCATTTATCAGGAATCAGTTCATCACATCAGATTACAAATTTTTACTAGAGAAGAATGTTCTTAGCAATCTGTTAATTTGGAGTTGGATGTTGGGGTAGTGTAACAGTTAATGACATTGAATTAAAAATTGGCAAACCAAGTTCATTATGTCCACTTTTGCATAAATACTCTAGGGAAAGGTATTAATTCATTTCTTCTCCCCTAACTACAGGTTAAATAGCAAGGCTGATTGAACTTTATTTTCTTCAGACAAATAAAAAATTTTTTTGATGGAATTAGTATTTTATAGAAAAAGGCAAAAAAAAAAGTGGTGGGAGAGATAAAACAAATGCTAGTTATGTTAAAACATATAATAAATACTCAAACATTAAGTTTATATTTTGACATTCAATGTATCACAATGAATCATTTATTTAAAACATCATATTTAAATTCTCAAACATTAATTTAAAATTTTTGATTCAGGTCAATATTATTACAATGAAAAATTTATTTCAGAGCAACAGAAGGCAAAATTAACAAAGTTTAAAGGTTCAGGACAGCATAAGGCATAATCACACAAAATTTGGGGGTTCAGGACAATATTAAAGGCGTTATTAACAAAATTTGGGGGTTCAGGACAACATAAGGCAAAATTGACAAAGTTTGAAGGTTCAGGACAGCATAAGGCATAATACACAAAATTTGGGGATTCAGGACAGCATAAGGCATAATTAACAAAATTTGGGGGTTCAGGACAGTATAAGGCATAATTGACAAAATTTGGGGGTTCAGGACAGCATAAGGCATAATTGACAAAATTTGGGGGTTCAGGACAGCATAAAGAATAATTGACAAAATTTGGGGGTTCAGGACAGTATAAGGCATAATTGACAAAATTTGGGGGTTCAGGACAGCATAAGGCATAATTGACAAAATTTGGGGGTTCAGGACAGCATAAGGCATAATTAACAAAATTTGGGGGTTCAGGACAGCATAAGGCATAATTAACAAATTGTTTTGGTTCAGGACAAATAAAGCCGAACAGGATAACATAGGGTGTAATTAAAGAAAAATCAGCCAACACAAAACCTGGACATTGGAATGAGGTTTATAAAGGTTTTGGTTCAATATTTCCAGTAGTTTACTATGCCAGACACCTGGTGATGGATGGAAAGTAGAATGGCTGAAACATGACATCCATGGACTCAATTTTTTTGTGAATCAGTGTATAATAAGGACAAGTCTTACTCTCAGAAATTCATACAGAAATGAGAGGGTACAATGGCAAAAAGATTGGACTTTAATAACCAAAATGAAAGGTTCTAATAATGCTAATTGATACTAATAATAATTACTGGATCAGTGCAGCAGACTAAAATAATCAAGGTAAGGAGACAAAGAATATTTTTTACTTTTGAGTTTTTATTTCAGTCATAAGTGTTCTCTCAGGAGCTTCTTGCACTAAGTAACAATTCTAGGGAAGAAAGTTTTTGAGTGATACTTGCTTTTTTATCAAAAGGGACATGAAGGGAATTGGGCATCCTAATCTGTAAAGGTCCAAATTAGTGGCATTAACTTGTCTGAACACCAAGTCCAGTTCATGGTTCTTCATATTCTTCCACCATTTTGTTCCGTGTTCAGAAATGTTATTTTTATTATTTGCCCTGTGTGTATGGGGAAGGATGATGATGCCGTTTTCTTATTGCTAAGAGAATGAAAGAAGAAGAATCTGTGGTTGAAGAAAACACAATCTGATAATTTGAAGTCAGAATGAGTTTGGAGAAGACATATTTTTATAAATGCCATTTCCCTTCAAGATTCACAGATTCCTTTTATTTGTTACCAATGAATTGCCACACATTATACAGAATGATGGTCGAGTGACTTCTCATTGTTCTCCCCACAGTTTTACTTCTATTAGACTGGTTGCCAACCATAGTTGGAAAGTCTAATCTATTTTGCTGTTTAACCCATATCTGGGAGGTGACAAAAATGGATTCATACCATTACCAAGGGTACTTGGATGAAAGTAACTGTAACAAACTTTGCTGGAATTGGCCTCCCCTAAAGGCATTTGTGTGAAAGTGAATGCAGTGGACTAGGCTGAAATTTGAACTCAGCTTGCTGATTTTAATTTTTGTACTGATATCCACAGATTGTAATCTTGTTTGGTTAATTGGGGGACATCTGGACAACTGGCCTCATTTCTTCCCAGGACATCTGAACAACTGACCATATTTCTTACCTCCCAGGGCATCTGGACAACTGATCTCATTCCCTTGCCACTGGACATTTCTTTTCCCTCTCCTGGGACATCTGGCCTAATTTCTTCCCAGGACATCTGGACAACTGATCTCATTTATTCCTAGGACATCTGAACAACTGGCCTTATTTCTTCTCAGGACATCTGAACAACCGATCTCATTTCTTAACCGCACCCCGAACATCTGGATAACTGCTCCTCACCAGGTATCTGAACATCTCATTTCTTCTTAGGACAACTGGCACTTCTCAATTTCAATAATTGGATCCATACTGACAAGTTAAAGCTCTGAAAAACATCTGCACCTGTTTTTTTTCTCCCCCAATTTATTTCTCTCCTATTAGTCCAATAAAGAAATAATAATTACTATTTGTAGAAATTAATTAAATTCACAGACTTGCATATTTTGAAAGAGGCAGGACACCCTCACTGCCGAAGCTGGAGTTAGATTCAAAAGCAGTTACAGAGCTTGAGTGGCAGTAATGGTGGTGGTGGTGGCGTGGGGGGAGTGGTGAAAAAGAGAACCTTGTTCCACATCAGGGCACGACAACCCCCCACCATCTTGGACTATTAGCAAAAGCCAGAAGAACATCTCAATAAAAGCGGAAAATCCAAAATGACAACTGAGGAACCAGACTACTGGATCCATAATTATATTGTCCAAAATCCGAATCCATCCTCTGCTGGGCATACGAGATGAATTGCTGATGGTTACGGACTTCAACAGAAGCAGATATTTTTTAAGGACCTGCCCTTCCCGGCTGTTATTGTCTTTTGTCTCTTGAGTTTTAGTCTAAGTCAGGCATGACCACGGGTCGTGCTTCAGTGAAAACTATTCAGGAAAAGGAGACGAAGGGTACAAAGAGTGTCCACTCCCCCTAACACCAAATGAGAATGATGGGAGAGTGGGTCTAAAAAGGTGGGGCTTTGAGCTAACAAGAGAAAGAAGGCTGGGTTTCTGAACAAGAGCAGTGTCAGAAGAATTCCTAACCTCATGTTACTAGCCACCACGCCCCAAAGTGAGGGGAGCTGTTAGTTTATAATTGACAGTAGGGTAGATTAAGATTGGGTGGAGTGCATTTGACAAAGTTGGGCGACTGTAACCATAAAAATATGGAGAGGTGTGTATGGGAGCTCTAAGGAGTGTGTTTCGAAATGGTTTAGGAGAGCATTTAGGATAGACATGTGCCATGCAGCACACGCGTACAACTACACAAATAGATAAGCAATCAACTGAAAACTGAAACACATATTTATGTTAAATACACACTCTTGTACACAGAAGTCTATGTATACATTATAACACACATACTCATTCGTATGAAAAAATATGTGTAAAAATACGTTTACACACTTGACGTTAGTGTGGTGAACATTCATTAATATGCAAACATACACAAAAACAATCTGTTACTTTATTTCTTTAAGATTTTTGTAAAAGATAGAAAAAAATCCTCTTTTTGTAAGCAAAATAAGAAATTAAGATTAGCTTTATGCTTTTCTTTTTAAAGATAATTTGAAAAGGAAGAAAGGAAGGAAAGAAAGAAAGAAGGAAAGAAAGAAGGAAAGAAAGAAGGAAAGAAAGAAGGAAAGGAAAGAAAGAAGAAAGAAAGAAGAAAGAAAGAAGAAAGAAAGAAAGAAGAAAGAAAGAACAATGATAAAAAGAAAGTAGGAGGAGTGAAAAAGTGTGAGGAGACTAGGATGAAGAAAGAAATAAAGAGTAGGATGAAGAAAAGAGAGAAAAAGATTAAGAAAGCAAGAAAAGGATGAAGAAAGAAAGAAAAAGACAAAGAAAGAAAGAAGACAGGATTAAGATAGTGAGGAAAGGATGAAGGAAAAAGTAGACAGGATTAAGAAAGAAAGAGAATAGGATTAAGAAACAAAGAAAAGGACGAAGAAACAAAGAAGACAGAATTAAGAAAGACAGTAGGATTGAGAAAGAAAGAAAAAAAGAAAGAAAGAAAGAAGAAAGAAAGAAAAAGAAAGAAAGAAAAAAGAAAGAAAGAAAAAAGAAAGAAAGAAGTAAGAGAAAAAAGATAAAAAGTATGAGTTAGAGAAAAGAAGCAAGTATTGGGATCAATGAAATGATTGAGAAGAAAGAAAAAGTGATAAAAAAAAAGGAAAGCATGTGGGAGGAAGAGGAGATGAAACGAAAAGAATAAAAGAAAGTGAAGAAAAAAAAGGAATGAAACTAGGAACAAAAAGAAGGAAGGAAGAATTGAGAGAGAGAGAAGAAAGAAGGAAAAGTGAAAAGAAAAAACGGATAGGTAGAAAAAATGCAATGAAATTGAAGGAGTAGCAAGTGAGAGGAAAGGATGAGGAAAAGAAAGAGTAAATGGCAAGAGGAAAAGAAAGCACGTAGTAAAAAGAAAAGAAAGCAAGGACAAGGGAAGAAAGAAAGTTGGAAAAAGGAAAGAAAGCAAGTGGAAGAAAGAAAGAAAGAAAGTGGGAAAAAAGAGAAACAGAAAGAAATAAAGGAATAAAAAGGGTAAGAAAAAAGATCAATAAAAGAAAAAGAACGGAAAAACAAAAGAAAAATCCAAGTCAAAATGAAATGAGGGGAAACTATTCAAAAAAAAAAGAAAAAAAAAAAAAAAAAAAAGAGAAAAAGAAAGAAAAAAAAGAAAAAAAAAAAAAAAAAAGAAAGAGAAAAAAGAAAAGAAAAAAAAAAAAGAAAAAAAAGAAAGAGAAAAGAAAAAGAAAAAAAGAAAGAAAAAAAGAAAAGAGAAAAAAAAGAAAGAGAAAAAAGAAAAGAAAAAAAAAAAAAAAAAAAAAGAAAAAAAAAGAGAAAAAAAGAAAAGAAAAAAGAAAAGAAAAAAAAAGAAAAGAAAAAAGAAAAGAAAGATAAGTATTAAAAAAAAAAACAAATAAATAAATAATCAAAAATGAAGAAAGGAAAAAAGAAAAAAATTACAAGACATAATAACCAAAAAAAGGATACCATAAAAAAAAGTATAAACTTTTATATGAGTGGACTCAGAGATTGGTCCCTTGTGCTATGCCCAACAAAACAAAGCAAGCACAAAAGACTTTGGTATAGGGTAAGATAGAAATGGGGAGAGTTGGAAACAGGGTGAAGAGAAAAGAAAAGAGAGAGGTAGGAGCAAAGACAGAGAAGTTAAAAAAACAAAAAAAAACTTAACTAAAAAGTTCAGGTGGTGGGGAGGTTGGTTCAAGCTCTGGACACACAGAAGAAACAAAAAGACAAAGCACGACACATTTCGTATTACACATGCCTCATAAAACATTTGCAGATACGGCTGACTGAATAGGAACTCCAGTACACCCTGACACCCAAGACCCACCCAGACAGCATCCAGCTTAACTCTTACCCAAACTTTTCTCCTACCCATCACCCTACCGGAGAAGATTATTTTCTGGAATTATTGGTAAATATAAAAAAAAAAAAAAAAAAAAAAAAAATGAAAGTGAAGCATTTTGGATTAGTCATATCTGAACAAAAAAAAAAAAGGTCCTGTTTATCAAATATGATGCAACTTCAGCTAAGAATCGTAACAAATATAGTTTGATAATATAATTTAATGGCTACTGTATTTGAGCATGTGGCCAAGTGGTTAGATCATTGGTGTTCCAACGTTCACACTTTGCATTTCATTTTCTATTGTGATTGAGGTTTCATCATTATTTCGGTTCATCAGTGTTTAATTTTCTGTTGAGATTGTCTTCATCCTTGTCATTTTATTTTCAGTTTGACTGACTTGAGTCTCAGTGTATGATTTTAGGTTCAAATTGTCTTGATCCACGACCATTTGTTGTCGGTTACTTTATTGTTTAATAGTATATGCAATTTAATACTAAATTGTAACAATTTTGAATGCATTTTTATTTTTTTGAGATAATACGGTGTAGCAATGGATAGCGGCTCGGATTGAGGAATCGGAGAGCCAAATTTGAATTAAAGTCTATTCCATTACATTCACTTACTTGCTAATACCCTTGGGAAAGGTATGAATCTTCTTCTTCTCCTCACTCCAGCTATGGGCAAATAGCAGGACAGACCGTGTTCTATAGCTTTGAATGGCAACTCTCTCTCTCTCTCACATAGTATGTATTTTGTTATTTTTTGACTCATCTCCTGGATGCTGAGAAATTAATAAAATTAAGATTTAGCCACACGGTACAGTAATGGATAGTGGCTCGGATTGAGGAATTGGAGAGTCTAGTTCGAATTCTAGTCGAATCTATTACATTCACTTACGTGCTAATACCCTTGGGAAAGGTATTAATCCTCTTCTTCTCCCTCCAGCTATTGGTAAATAGCAGGAGAGACCGGGTCGTATAGCCTTGGACGGCAACTGGTCTACCGCAGAAAGAAATGGTAACCTATTGTGGGAAAAAATCTACCTCATCAGTTATGTATTGAAAGATACATGATTGCCTAAGTGTGTATCACGTATGGCATATAACTGATTGAAATACACTGAGGAGTTGATACCCTTGGGAAAGGTATGAATTTTCTTCTTCTCCCCCAGATATGGGGAAACAGCAGGAAAGTCTAGATTCTGTAGCTTTGGATGGCAACTGGTCTACCGCAGAAAGTAACCTATTGTGGGAAAAAAAATCTGCCTCGTTAGTTATGTATTGAAAGACACATGATTGCCTAAGCATGTATCACACATGGCACATAACTGACTGAATGTCTTTTTAGTGATACTAGTCTTTCTAATTAACCCATAGCTAGGAAGAGAAGAGGTGGATTTGTAATTGTAATTTTTCTAAGAGTATTTGCATGTGAGTGAATATAACGAACCCAACTGGAATTGGAACTCAGCTCTCTGATTAACAATTCTGAGCCATAATTCATTACACTTCTTGCACATCCAAGCTTACAGCACGTGGTATTTCCAAGTGGTCATGATGCATCTAGGTACTGACCAGGCTCATCATTGCTTAACTTTGGTGATTGTACAGGAACAAGTGTTTCAATGAGATGTAGGTTGTAAGCCTTCTTCTTTAACATTTTATTTTTAAGTTCAGTTGTCATTTTCAGTTTGATTAACTTGATCTTCAGTGTTTCATTTTCAATTTGAATGTTTTTATCATTTTCATTTCTTTTT